TATGAGAAAAGGAAAAAAATGGAAACAAAGTCTTTGCAAATAGGGAAGGGTGGAGGGGGTGAAGAGAGGGCAAGGGAAGGGGAAAAAAATAAGAACGAAGATACATCATATACAGGTACAAGATCCCAATAATGAATGTAACTGTATTTTATACCTAAAATGTACCAATAAACGTAATGGCAAAAAAAAGTAACAGTCAAGGAAGAAACTGAAGATGATTTTCAGGATCATGATGTCTTCATCATCCTGTCTGTGGATCCCTGAGACATTTTCAAGGGGGAAAGATGATTTATTAAATAGAGATAAATCTTAAGTTTTAACGTAGCATCAGACAGCAGAGCTGAATTGAACGCTAGGGGAAAAATCAGAAAAATCTTTCAAGAGTAGAAAAATCCCTTAATTTTTTATGACATTTCAGCAAAGGCAGGGGCTCCTAACAGTTTCTACCAATTTTTAACTGTCCAACTCATAAAAAATTTCCAGAAAACTATATAATTTGTACTGAAAGTAATCATGGAACACACAAATCTAATGAAATAAATCTAGAAGAATCCTAAGACTCTTCTTGTCCCCAAAATATCACATCTTTTTATTCTATAGAACTTACAATCTGAATTCAAAAAATGCTAAAGACCATATTACAAGAGATTAACAGTGATTTGAATGAGGGAATAAAATTAGAACATCTAGAATAGCACTATTACAGAACTGACTAATCTATTAGAAACATAGTATAGCAAAAAATTCCATTACTATTATAGAGGGGAAATTTAAGATAATCATAGTCTATTCCAAATAAAAAGTAAGTAAAATAGAATAGATGTGAGTGATAAAGGCATCCAACATATTGGATAATTTTTGTATATCAAGTAGAAAAGCCAAGAAATTCTTTAGGAAAGTAGAAGAAAAATTCCTTCATTTAATACACTGATTCTGTAAGACCTGAAGAGCTTATTTTCAGTAAAGTTGAGAAATAATAATTGGTAATAAAACTTACTGTGATTAAGATTGTAGCCTACATGGAGAATTGTCCAGAAATACACCCAGGTGAAAACCTGAAACTGAGACAGGAATGCAGACTCACTGACTTCACAGGTCTCCAGATTTCCCTCCAAGTGTAATGATGCCTCGCCAAAACAACTTCTAATGAAAACAGAGTTCCAGAATATTCCCACTGGCCAAATAGACTTTCAATTATAAAGAAAAAAGCAAATAGAATTTCAAATGTAACATCTATGATGATTTCTTTGAAAAACTGAAAGATACCCAATAAAATGAAGACAAGAGTGCGGCTGAATAACAGAGTATAGGAAGTTCCAGGGAAGCACACAGTGTTTAAGTGTAATGGGGAGTGACTACAGATCTGTGAGGGAAACACAGTGTGAGGCACCTTTCATTTCTAGATAGTAATCTGTTTTTGTAGCACAAGAGGAAAAGCTTGAGAAGTAAAAATATGGTGAAGATTTTCTGTAAAGAAACAAAAATATCTACAGTATCTTACAGATGACATTCACCCAATAAAGAAATGAATAAAACTAAATAATTTAGAAGTAGAGAATATTGTTTACAAGTTAGTGTTTTTGAATTATATGTCTAAAATATTGTAAATTATGGCTACAGTTAGAATATGGATCTAATAAACCTTATGTGGATAAAAATAGAACTGTTGGTGAAAATTAGGATATATTATTTCTTCCTCTCTCAGAAGGAAGTCAATATTGACTTATACATGGATCAAGGGGGTCATTGAAAGTCTTTATTGTATCTTTATTATGTGTCTGTTAACTCTTTATAGCTTTTAGAAACTAAGTAGCCTCCCTGGACGTGCAGAATTATCTTAAATTTAGCGAAGTCTTCACTGGTACTATATTTGGTTTTCTTTCATTAAAATTAAATAATTAAAAATGGCATGAAGAGTACAGTCTCATTTTAATAAAATCCATTATTCCTTCAGCTCATACATATGTTATTGATAGAGAATTGTAGGAATGGTACCTATCTAGTATTGAAAGTGATTTTCTTTGGAGTAGTATTTTTGAATAAATTTTTTTTTAACTTCTAAAAATTTTTCTCTACACTGCCAACTTTAAGGACATAGATACATTTATTTTTTGATAAAAGACCTTTTTCCTTTAAATAATGGTGACAGAATTTTGAAATATTTGCCAAGCATTTGTTGAGGGTTAAAAACATGACCGTTTCTGTCTTTATGAATTCCAAGGACCGTATTAAAGGATTTACCAATTTTTTGTATTCTGATTTGAAAAGCTGAATGCGAATATGCCTAGCATTTTCATCCTATGCCTCATTTATTTATATTCCAAAGGAATTTTTAGTGTAAGTTATTTTTTCTAAGTGTAGAACTCACTTATGTATCTTTGTTGAAGGTAAGATCTGATGATGTCTTGTTTTGTATCTGTCAAGTCAGAAGCTTGTTAGGATGTGAAATTATACCCTACTTGCATGCAAAAAAGTGAGTGTGACACAGTGTCATAGATAATTGGCAGAATACCTGGGACTCTAGTAAAACAAAGTAGCACTAGTTTTCTAAATTTCAAATCTCATAGAGAAATAGAGTTTGGGTTTCTTGCTGTTAAAAAGAACCTTTATATTAGAAACCCAGGCTGTATAACATGGGCTGATGACAAAGGAGCTCATACTTCTGTCCCAAGAGAGACATTATCTTTATTACTCTGGAATCTCCTGCAAATCTACTCCAAGGAAACTGGTATCTCTTTGTTTTCTGGAAAATAAGTAAATCTGCCCAAGAAGAGAAATAGCTATGTATGCAAACATTCTTGAAGATAGTCTGGAGCAAATTAACTGTTAATGCTTTTGAAAATGTTTGGGAACATGAAAGACTTAAGGAGAAAAATGTCTCCTTGTAAAATCTAGAAGAATAGAAGATGTGACTTGATGATCACAGTTAATACCTCACAATGGAAGCTGATGTCTTTTATATTGTCATAACATATAACTCGTGGCATGCAAGGTTGTTCTTTTAGTGTTCTCCTTGATCTTTGTGTCCAGTAAAAATTATAAGTGGAAATACATGTCTTAAAATTTATAAACCAACTAATTTCTATAACAAAGCTAAGATCTTGCAATCTTTCCTTCCTCATTTCCCAACATTTTGTTAAAGTTATGTAAAATTAAGCTATTTAATAGATAATGGTCTTACAGGTTCAGTTTGTTGTTTTAGTTAAGAACAGCTTTGTAATTTGGAACTGTGAATTGTAAAATATGCTAAATGGAATGCCAGTATGAACCACTGAAATATGAGTTCCAGTGGATTCATTAGAGATATCTTATAAAAGATCCCTTTTGTATTAAGTTTTGAGATTTTGTTCATATCATGGTAATAGGAAGAACTTGAAGTAGAGTATTAAGTTATAGGAAATAAAAATCTTATTCAGAAAGGTCATATGCACCCTTCCTTCCAAGTTTGAGACTATCTCTTGTATTTAGCTCTTTGGCAGTCTGTTTTTCATCTATTATTATTGCCCAAGTTCAAATCTTTTTTCTCTGATGGATACTGTTGTAATAGTTTCTTATTTCCTTCCCAGCTTTAAATCATTACAGGTTTAGTGATTTCTATTCTTTGTAGCTACGGTATTTAACTTGCTTCCGGAATCCTCCCACCATCCCTGTCTAACCAATCTTTCTATTGTAGTCTTTCAGCATTCTGTGCAATAAATTTGTCATGTAAGTTAAACCAGAGTGAGGCTTTGTGGTGCACACCTGCAATCCCAGCACTCTGAGAGACTGAGGCAGGAGGATTGCAGCTTGGGCAACTTACCACTTTACCAAGATCTTGTCTCAAAAAGGGGGAAGGGCAGGGGATTTATTTTGGTGCAGAGGGTTTGGGTTCAACCCCGTTCTGCAAAAATTAACCAAAACATAAAAAAACAAGACCTCTTGTCTGTTTCTGAATATATTGTATCTTTCCTACATTTTTCTTATCTGAACCAATTTATTCTTGTTTGCTAAAATAATGCTTATGATTCATGGCCTGATTGAAATGTCTTTCTCTTGGTAACCTGATACAATTCACCCTGGATTTATTTTTGCATATTTTCCTAGGCTTTATAGTATCTCTCCTATAGCAACTATAGCATATAGTATGCAGAGTTGTTTATGTTTGTATTATGTATTTCTGTCCAATTTGTGAACATTTTTCTATATGCATTTTCTCCTAGCATGTAAAAGTCACATCTGTGGTTCCATGTCACGATGGCAGCAATATTCAGCACATCATCTTAGAACAGTGCTACAGTTTTGTTTGTATGAATGTAAGTAGTAATTACAAATGATGGAAAGAAGTTAAAGATCTGAACAAAAACTATCAAAGAGAAGTACTGATATTTCTGGATCTTTAAATATTTGAATGTAAAGTTTTGATAGTTGAGTCGTTTTATGTAGTATGTATTTGGAAATTTCATTTTTTATCATTTAATAGGAAAATGACATTTTCTAATGAGTTAATGAAGAAGGTGGTGTTTCTTTAGATAATATTTTTAGTTTTTTTTTTTTGGTACCGGGGATCCAACTTGGGTCCTTGCACTTGCGCAGCAGGCGGCGGAACCACTGAGCTAAATCCTCAGCCCCTTTAATTTTGTTTTATACTTAGTATTAAGTAGGCTAAATTAATAAGTAACTCAAATTTAATACATATATATATCTTATGGATTTTTAAAAAATTGTTTGAAAAATACACTTGATAAATATTTTGAATGTGGTGTAAGATCTCTCCATTTTTCTCTTAAGTTTTAAACCATGTAAAAAGCTTCTTTTCACTTTCTTGGTCTTCCAGGTTATGACAACTGATTTTCAAAACACCCAGAAACTACTGGGCATGCTTGAGGAAAGCAACCTTTCCGTTTTATATCCTGTAGTTGTTGTTTCGGTAAGTGAATGAATGCCAACTTTTCTCATCAAATTTGCTCTTCCTTACCCATAACTCAGCATTTCTATTTAACGAAGTTTTATCCAGTGACGAGCAATGCCTGAAACTCAGGAAGAAACTTTTTCTTGTGGATTTGTGAGGTGATTCTTTTTTTTCTGCTGTGACTTCTTTGAACACCTTGCCTTTATTACACCAATCATTTGATTGAACAGAATATTTTAAAAAACTATTTAATTCCATCTAACAACCAATTTCATTCCTTTTTCTTCATTAAAATCTCAAAGTACATGGCTTGTGTTTGGTTCTGTGCCATAAAGGGGAGCTTCCAGGGCTACAGCTTCTAATGGAACCCAAGTCCACCTATGACTGATGTACACAAATATGGAGGTTATCATTGAGCTGTTTGTTTTGGGAAGATTATGGAAAGAACCCAATGCTGGAAGACTCTAAGGCTCTGTAGGAGAGAGGCAAGTTCAAAGTCCTGTGTTTGGCCCTCTTTTCCTCTCCACATGTACTTGCTTAGAAATGTCATTCTCTCCATGTTCTTAAGTATTATGCCTAAAAGGTCATACAGTATAAAGGGGGGGCGGTTGAACTCAGAAGCCCTTGGTTCCTTCATCAAGCTCCTTAAATTTTTCTGAGGTTCAATTTCCACTTTGTACAAATGAGGCTGATATCCCTATTTCTTAAGTAGTAATGATGGAAATGAATGAGTGCAAAATGTAGTTGATAGGGCAGTGCTGAGTCCTTGGCAGACAGCACTATTAGTTTCAGTTCATAGACGAGGGTCTTTCCTTCACACTTCAGTTAACTCCAAGTTCACTTCCACTGTTCTAATCTGATTCCTGAGCTTCAGGGATACATTTCCCATTTTTCTCTTGGTTACTTCCATGGGAGTGCTTCACTTCTCTAGTTTATGTCACATCAATCACAAAAGCACATTGTCCCTAAGTTAATGTCTCTTCATGGCAATGCAGTTGTGATGACATAGGCCCTCAAGTTGGAATCTATCATCTTTGAGACTTCTTTCTACCTTTCTCCTTCTTTCCACCAAATACATACATACACACACTGTCTTACCTTTTAAACTGTTGTTTCTTATTTTCTACTGTTGTATCTCAACCCTAGGCCTTTATTGCTTCCATTAATATACAAATTAAGTTTTGTGGTGAGTTCTCTTGAGTTGAATTTCATGGGTCCTAGAAAATGCGAAAATTGTTTGGCTACTTAAGTGTTTTGTATCAAACTAAGAAAAAGATGAACAATTTTCAAGTTATAGGTCAAATGTATCTTAGAACTAGTATAAGAATTATTATAGGTCTTCACACTACAAACACTCCAGAGTTGGAAGATTGTCACCCCATCATTATTAACTGTGTACTCATTTTCTCATTGCATCACACCACTCAATGTGGTGATATTGAAGTTTTATTAAATTTAATAGGACAATTTGTTATTTAATTTTCCTATATTTTAATTAGGAAAATATGTTGTAGCCTTAGGACAGAACATGTCACTAGACAGGGTGGAGTTAAAAATATTGGCTTCTTAGATGAGTGGTGAATACACAGTCTCTAGAGTTTTGAATTATTCTGTAAATGATTGTGACTATTGCTTATCAGGGTTCATCCCTTTCCCTTCTGATACCACCTCCATCAATGATGGCCAAAGGACCATTTTAGTTTTTCCATGAATGAAAATTTAATAGAACCATTCAGATATTCCCCACACTAATAGATGTGTGGAAAATAGTATGATGATTGTACAATAAAATTAAAACACTTAAATTTGAGTCTGAGTATCTTGGTTCATACATTAATGAGTCAAATATATACAGTACATAGATACATACAGTATTTGGGTGTGTGAGTGTGAATGTATGTGTAAGACTTATGTACAAATGTGTGTGATTGAAATGATGTTAAATGTATCAGGCGTCTCAGAGACTACAATGTCCATTTTGGTTTGATCTGAACTAACTTTGCTGGAAGGTCAAAGAAGAATGAAAGGGCTCTGCCATGGTTTTTATTGTAGATTCCTTTTAAATAAGACTTTTGCTAAACAACTGTAAGCTCTGAGAATGGTCCAAAAGGAGTCTGATTATTTGCTTCCCCAAACTGGTAGCCTTTTTCGTCAGAAACATACTAAAAATGCCATCAAAATCATAGATAAAATTTTTTTTCATCTTAGAGTTAGGTAATTCATAGATTTTGAATTGATATATTATAAAGACCTATTTTGTCTTAACTGAGATGTAATACAATAATCTTTTTTCCTATGCAAGGGTTATCAACTTTAAATTTTATTCCCTCTGAAGAGAGGAAGATTTAATAGGAATTAGCCAGAAGCAGTGATTGTGATTACTAGACACTTAATAACTTTTTCAAAATAGAGAATGTCAATCTAGGTAAGGTTGTCATTTGGAATACCATCATATTTCATGTACAAGGGCAAATATTTGAGGAAACGTAGCTGAAGGTGAGTTTAGCTAGGACATTTGGCAAAAATAATGTTGATTGGTATTAAGCTACAGTACTGATAAAGTTCAACTTACCTCATATTTTCAGGTAGGTATAGAAAAATATTTTAGAATTCTTTTGTATGTGTCATTCAATAGTCACTCAAAAGGGACATATAACTTTTAATCTCACCTAGAATATTTAGGAAGCTAAGTACCGAAAGAAACAAAAATTGATGGTTGTGATTCTTGGAATAGGGATATTTTGCATGATTAGTTTTATTTTGTTTTTGTTTTGTTTTTTTGGTACCAGGGATCAAAATCGGGACCTTGCACTTGCAAGGCAGGCGCCAGAAACACTGAGCTAAATCCCCGGCCCCCGACATGATTAGTTTTAGATTAAGTTCTACAGAGGTCTCAAAAATATAATCGGTTCTCCTGAAAAGTGAAATGGCTTAAGAAATATGTAGGTTTAAAAAAAAAGAAATATTTAGGTTTGTATTATCTAAGATAAACTAGCAGAAATAAGAGGCTTTTACTTTAGGATTCTCTTGAAAAAGGATACAAAATTTTATCATGAAGAATAGAATAAATGGGACTTTATCATGGAAAGAGCTAAAGTATTAAGAACTAAGATATTAAAATAATTTTATTTTTCTTTAAAGAGTTTCTTTAAAAAAACGTAATGTTTATAAAACTAAACTTTTGCATAATCTTATCAACATTATATAACAGTATGTTGGGACTTCAAGTGATCACTTTTAAAAAATATTTTTGATCTCTTTTAGTTCTCTTAAAAATCCTTCAATGATCCTTTGACATTCAGAATGCTCTTTGGAACTTCAGTCTGATCATTGTTCGTGTTTCTTTTCTTATGATTTGTTTTAAGTAGTCTAATTTTGCCAACTTTAAGACTTGATGTCAGTAGCATTTAATATGATTTATGAATTTAAATAACGTTATTTAGTTCAACCTAAAATCTTTATACTTTGGGAGATGTAATGTAATATAATGGAATAATCATAAGTTTACAAGTTTCTACAATCAGAGACCGGTCTAAACTACATGATCTAAAATAGATGACTAAAATAGACAACTATACTATATGGTCTAAAATAGACCGGTCATTGACTACATGGTCTAAAATTTCAGGAGGCAAAACTACGTATAGATATTTTCCAGAGGAGATTATATAAAACCAATTGTAAACCCCTCAAAAAGAGTAAAATAAGGATTCTAACTTATTTGTTTCTGGCAAAGGTTCCACAAAACATCCTTTGATACTATCAGATAAAGCAGTAGATAATACATTCATATTATCTTCACCTAATAGGCAGCAAATGAATGTTTAGTTATTACAATTGGGAAGAAATGGGCAATAAACCTAAGTGGAAATTAAAAACTGAGAAGTAAAGCAGATTCTTTAATTTTGTTTGGTAAAATAGTTTGTTACTTTTCCAAAAGCAAAATAATTTTACTGTAGTTATCTAGATATTTATATGAGAGTTCTATTTTTATCTGCCAATGTCCAAAATTTTATTAATGCATCATGACGGAGGAATAATTTCATGAATTTACTTTAGCAAAGACATAAATTACCAAGGGGAATTCTAATGCTTTGAAAAGCATAAATAAACCTTCAAAAATACCTGGTTTTGTTCTGTTCAGTAGAAAGTAGTTTATTAACAGATCAGAATAGGCGATGTTTGAAACACTTCAAAATGTTTAATATTTGAACATGTCAGCAAATTATAAAAAAAAAAACACCCAGAAAATCACCATCCATTGACACTTGATACTTTCACATATGGGGAAGCTGTCACAGGGATGTAAATTGTTTCCAGAGGGTTCCACAGCTCGCAAGTGTAGCACCAGAAAGAGAATCAATCCAATGTGTACTGTATCATATACACTTGTTACTTTCATGCTCTTATATTAAATAATGGAAAAGATAAAAAATATGCATGTACACATACATGTACTTAGTATTCCTTCCTAATAAGGAACAAATGACAACTGGGAAAACAGAGATTTCTTCTTTCAAGTGCTAATGGCTTCTTACATTAGTTTTACAGAGCATTGAGCCTTTACTGAATTTAAGTTATAACAATCTAGGCTCCTGTTAAATTTTTTACCATTTCTGAGATATGAATCTTGTCACCTTTTACTTTACTGCTTGTTGTGTATATTTCCTCCTGTTAACCCTGTTTTTACTAGATTAAGAAAATGTGTTTTCAAGGTACAAGTTTTTATAAAACAAAACAAAACAAAACAAAAAAACCGAGAGCAATTTTAATTCTCACTGCCTCCCTGTTGGGTTTACTTTTTACAGCTTGTATATTTCAGGTCCCTGGATTATTCGTTCTTATTTTTAGTGGTGTGTGATCTGTTCATGCATTAGAGAGAGACAGAGAGAGAGAAAGAGAGAGAGAGAGAGAGGGAGACAGAGAGATAGAGATAGAGAGATGGAGAGACAGAGAGAGACAAAGAGACAGAGAGACAGCAAGAGAAATAGAGAGACAGCAAAGTAGAGAGAGACAGT